CGGCCCCCCCCCCCCCCCCGCCCCCCCCCCCCCCCCCCCCCCCCCCCCCCCCCCCCCCCCCCCCCCCCCCCCCCCCCCCCGCCGTGAGAAAATGCACAGACTCCCGACCTGCACCTACATGTAATGGAACCCAAACCCTGGTTACCAAGGTACTGTGCCTACATAAATCTCCGGCTACCATTCATCACCAACTTCACGGTTCCTCTAGATTCTAAGCCCCTGGAGCTCTTGAGCTGGAGGTGCAGCGCAGGGGAAAAGATCGGGACCCCAGCGTCTGATATTCACATCCAGATCTGCCGGCGACTGTTTTCGTTCTATTCTAGTGATTGCCAATCGCTTAGTCAACCACTCAGTTGCTGCCAACTGAGCTGCACCAACGAGCGACCTAGGATTATTAAACATTTTCTGCTGCCTCGCTGAAGCCTGATTCCCTTTCCTCTCTTGCTTCTCCCTTATATGAGTGCTTCAGTCGTGCATACCTATATATATTTAACAGGCAGGCATACATGAGATCCGGTTGACAGCCTACAACTTACCAAGAAATCGAAATCTCTCGTTCGATGCAACGGCTCGGTCGACTAGCGAGCCAGAGAATCACATTTGCATCCAGCAGGTCCTACGGGTTCACTGCTCTTGAAGCCGGCCGTGCTGCAAGACTCGCCTCGAAACCCCTGTCCTCACCGGCCAAGAAGACGGCGAGGCTATTCTCCATGTCATCTTCAACCCAAGCTCCGCCCAACGAGGCCGGCCCCTCCGCAAGTGCGGAGGCGCCAGAGGCGCCTGCGCCGGTGACTTCGACGCATGAAGGAGAGGATGGCAATGGGGGCGACAAACCCAAGGCGGGCAAAACGGAGGCCCAACCGCCCTCCGGCCCGTCATCTGGAAACATACCCGAGCCAGACCTGCCACCCCTGACCCAACAAGAATTCCGCACCTACAACCGTTTAGCCGAACAAATGGACTACTTCGTACGTGAGCTTGCCACCTCCCTAAATAAAGGGCGGCTCTCGCTACCCCAAAGAGCGATCCTCGCCCAGCTAACCAGTTCCTCACAGCATGACCACTTCCGGAGGAGCTGGAAGCTCCTATACGACGCGTGCACGTCGGGCAAGAGGCCGTCCAACATGACCTTGAAGCAGTTTCTTGAAGAGGGTAAGTTATCCAACCCCCAAAAACAGTTGGCAAGAAGAAAAGGGGGAGGGGTTTTTATTTTATTTTATAAAAAAACCTCAAGAAAGAAAGAGAACAAAATGAAACAAGAAACCCCTCCACCAGAACCTAACCAAAACACACCCACCCTCCATCCAGGCCTCTCCCTCATCCGCTACCTCGAAGCCCACCACAGCATCGAGGAGACGTACCTCTTCCCGCTCCTCGCCCGCAAGATGCCCGAGTTCCGCGCCGGCAAGGGCGGCGGCGCCGGCGAGCTGGTCCGCCAGCACCGCCTGATCCACGCCGGCATGGACGGTCTCGAGGACTACCTGCGCCGCTGCCGGAACCGCGAGTCGGAGCTCGAGCTGTCCGTCATGAGGTCCAAGATGGACTCGTGGGGCGACGTCCTGCTCTCCCACCTCGACCAGGAGGTCCGCACCCTCGGCGCCGAGAACATGAGGAGGCATTGGACCCCCGAGGAGATGCGGGCTATTCCGATTTAAGGAGGGGTTTAGCAGGGAGCGCGTGGATCCATTTGTCTAGGAACGTTTTGGGGCGGCGCTGCTGGATGAGTATCGGGGGGAGGTTCGAGGTTGGGAGAGTTCCAGCGGTTGGATGGTTCCAACTGCCATTTTGCGATACCCTTGGATAGATCCCTGTTTATTCCACAGACCGCAATGGGCTAAAAGTACCTAGTTGTGTCATGTAAATACAGTCCGTCCGTCACAATAATCCCTTTGCCTCCTCTAACATTGGGCAGGCCGCAATCATGGCAATCTGCCATACACGGAGGGCCTTGAAACAACCACATCGCCTGCTGCATGTAAGAGCAGGCTTTGTGGGCGCCCTCCTGTCCGTCTACCAAACGCCGATGCCAACGCGGATGGTATCTATCTGTACAGTACAAGTCAAACAAAGCCTATAAACGCCAAATTCTGCAGAGGGCCGGATTCCAGACGAAAATAATCGAGGCTTCAGTCCTCGAATATTAACCCCTAATTTGGTATCACCCCAGGCTAATCACAAAAGCCTAAGCCATGCAATATCGGCAGTAGCCGACTCGACGGCCTCCTCCGTCAGGGCCACACCACCGGGCACGTCGAGCGGTTCCTTGCCGAAGAAACCTCCCTCGTTTTCGGCTTCTTCCATGGCAGTCACCTCTTCAGCAAAGAAGTGCTGCTCCCCAGTACTCGGGTGTGGTAGTGCCTCCCGGCAAGCCGCATCAAACACTCCTTGGTTGAAAGGATGGAATAGTCCGACGTCGCACTCTTCCTCGGGCTGGTAAGGTACATAATGCTCGGCGACGGGGTGGTTACGGTCCGTGTGGGCGACTGGCCCGGCCGAACTACCTTTACCCTCGCCGCTGAACGGTATGACGGACGAGGACACCTTTTGCCGAACGGGGAGGTTTGTTTTGAGGGATGAAGGGCTGGTCATACTAGTGTTAGTAGAGAAAATGGTCGCAAGCCAACTCAATATCGGTACATATCTGACATACCTTCTACCGTCGCTGGCGTCTTCGTAGGAAGCAGAGCGGATCGCTTTCTCTGAGCCTGCCAGACCACTCCCGGCCCCACGGGTAGGGGTAAGTGGTGGGGTCCATGGGGGTCGGACGAACAGATCTTCGTTGCGTGGTTCGGGAGACATATTTACCGAGTTGTCGGCTTTGGAAGCACCTGCTCTAGTTTTGCCTCTTCCACTGGTGTTCTCGGTTCCCGTAGTTGTAGTGTGGTTGGATGATGATTGCTCGGCTGCGACCCCGGAATCAGGATGCCACCAGCTTGACTGGTAATCATCGCTGGGATTATCAACCTTCCCGAGATGCTCGTCGACGATATCCATGACGCTCCAAGTCGAGGACGGAGAGCTTGGAGGAGTGAAGGAGATCAGCTGCCGGGGTCGCGGCTGTCTTGTGTTAGCGCGTAGATTCCCCAGGAGATTAGAGCGGGCACCCACCATAGGCACAGCTCGATAACCAAGATTCTTGACGATATCAGGATCCGACACGGGCCTTGACTTCATATAGGAGAAGGAGAAGCCAGTGACAGCTGTGGGCGGTATGACGCCATTGGCAATACCGTTCAAACTGAGCCAACTTTTATCTTTCCCCGTGATGTTGCAGGATGGGCAGACTTTGTGCTGACACTCCTCTCCCTGCCTAGGTACCCATGGCTGCCTGACAGAGGAAAAGGCCAGGTCCCGCAGGACTGTGTTACCACCTCGCCGATCTCTTGCAATGGCCTCGTGAACCTTTGGTACGTTGGTAAGTAGGAGAAACCTTCAAGACTCTGGGCAAACGCGTACATTCTCACGTTGGCCAAGTATGGTGGCGATCTGATCAGGGGTGTAGGATTGCATCTCCTCCGACGTGATCTCCTTCAGGAAGCTGAACTTGTCAGATCGCGCATCAGGGCCGCGATTCCCGAGGGACATGTGCTCCGCAAAGCCTTCGCCGATCTCATCGAAAGTGACCTATTCTCTGTTCAGTCAAGTCTCTGTAACCGGTGGATTCCGAGAACGAACCCTGCCACCACGGCTTTTCATATCTCGGAGTATAACTTCGCGATCCTGGGTGCAACGATAAAGCCAACCGAATACCCCTCGGTTTTGGCAGTTTTGGCAGCGGAAAGGCGTATGGTACAGGCGTGTCATAGAAATATGGCCGCATCTGGGCTTCCAGCCACGTGTCGGCGGTGGGCGTTGGAGTGTTGAGAAGGTCGAGATGGGAAGAGGTACAGGCTCACTGCCTGGTACTGGCAGGGCTGGGGTTTGCCCGGGGTTTGAGGGCGTTTCCATGGCGTCAATGATATGCCGGGCCTGGGGCATGCGCAGACCTACCATATGGCGTGCCGATATGGGACGCCGCTCCGAGCCTCAGTGTACCTGATTAAGGCAAGATGCTAACCGAAACGAGGTTCACTATTGGTCGACAGAGACAGAGACGCCAGACCTCATATCAAGTATGGTGCTTTTAAACACGTTGGCTAGCAGAGGAGTGGCCAGCACTGGAGCCAAGGAAAAAAGGATAGCTATCAGGGAAATGGGTGGAAAGAAGAGTGAAGATAACCAAGCCCAGAAATTTGTTGACTGGAGTGGCCAGGACTGCAGCAGGGTCGGAATGTGAGGACATAGTGAAAAGGGGGGCGAGGGCAGACTCAATCGTGTTCGTTGAGTTTGAAAACTCTCTCTTTGGGAAGCTTCAAGGTTGCCTAGTTGAACGCGACGGCGTTGAGTTTGAAACTCACTCTCCGGAAAGCTTCAAGGTTAGTTAAACGCGCGAAGGCAAGAAGAGGATGCTTAAACACAGTATCTAGACGATTTTGCAGTCCACAATCTTCACAGCAGGGCATATTTATGCTGTCATGGAGTAGCCATTACCTACAATTCTCGGAGTTGTTGGGGTTTGTTCCTTGATCACAATAGGACCATCCCAGCTGATGAGAAAGGCAACACCAGGTATCTAAGCGACCCACCTAACAAGGCAAGAGCTTTCGACTCTCGATATCCCGAGGCCATTAGAGCGGTGGCATCAAGGCAGGCACAAAGGTGATCGCTCTTCCGAGCTGATGAAAGCCAATGCGGCTCAAGGAGCGTCACAGGGTACCTACCTAAGGGTAACCTACCTGGAGGGCTGGTAAGTACCTAACCATGGAGAGCTTGCATACCCCGGTATCTCGGTAGGAGTATCACCAAAGGCTTAGATCGTGCATATGCATCGTTGCCAATCCTTTGCCAAATGCAGTGGATGTGATGCATGAATGTGTTGTCGTCAAAGTGTCTACCAAATCTAGACCCCCTCGTGAATGGTGGAGACAAAACAAACCTCGGGACAAGGTCGGTAACCCGGCCAATCAACACAACAAACAGGGGCACCTCAGGTCTCCACATTTCACCCCAGCTCCTAGTCGCGACCGTCCCCCCAAGTTCAGAGTCAAATTCCAACCTCCTTGGCCGACCTGTTCCACTTCTCCATCACCGGATGCGCTTGTTGGGATCCCCTCATAGCCGGTAAGCCTCTCACCTCTCCAGTCCCGGTCCAGTTTTGCCGTCCAATGTGTGTTTTCCTATCCGCTCGCTTCCCCTTGCCAACCTCGTCAGTACTGCAAGCACTCTACAAGCATTGAGGCTGTAAACAAACCCCCGTTTCGTCGCAAACGCTGCCCACCAGCCTCGAGTGGCCACTTGCGGCTCATCCCAAAAACCTAAACACAATGCTGACGTTCCATTCCAATTCAGATCTCAGACAAACCTAGATGCCGATTTGACCGTTGCCCGCTATGTCGCTTAAATTCGAGCGGGACACCTACCGTGAGGCCGCGCCGAGCGCCGTCTCCTCGGCCAGCTCCGCGATCAGGGGTGGGCCTATTCCAGGCACGAGTGGGAAGCATCCCATCGCCGCAGCCATCGGAACCGCTGTGACCGGTGGGAAGCAGAATGCCGGCACCAAAGGTTACCTCGCTGTACGTCTCCGCCCCTCCCGACGAGCCCCGCTCCCGTAGCTCCAACCCCCGTTTGGGTGCGAGAGGAGGAATTGTCCGCAGCTAACAGATGGCGGACCACCAGGCTTACATCAAGGAATTGGAGTCGAACCCGCTGCGCACCAAGATGCTGACTGCCGGCACCTTGGCCGGGGCACAAGAGCTCATCGCTTCCTGGCTGGCAAAGGACCGCAACAAGCACAACAATTACTTCACATCTCGTGTCCCCAAGATGGCCGCATATGGCGCACTTGTCAGCGCGCCACTGGGCCACGTCCTGATCTGGTTTCTGCAGAAGGTCTTCAAAAACCGCACCAGCCTGAAGTCCAAGATCTTGCAGATCCTCTTCAGCAACCTGATCGTATGTGCTCCCTCAACCTCCCCCCCCTGTTACCAACACCGTTGACACATTCTTTTTTTTTTTTCAGATCGCCCCTATTCAGAACACCGTCTACCTCGTGGCCATGGCCCTGATCGCCGGTGCCCGGAACCTGCACCAGGTGCGGGCCACGGTCCGGGTCGGTTTCTGGAAGGTTATGCGGGTCAGCTGGGTCACGAGCCCGCTCTGCCTGGCCTTTGCGCAGAAGTTCCTGCCCGAAAGCACGTGGGTGCCCTTCTTCAACCTCGTGTCCTTCATCATTGGCACCTACATCAACACCGTCACCAAGAAGAGGCGCCTCGCCGCCCTTCGCAAGAAGCACTTTGGCGATGGCCGCTCCAGCGGTCCCTCTCTCTCCGGCCGCCCCGATGACTACCCCCCTGTCGGGCCGAACCCGCCGTACTAAAACACGGGGCCAACGGGAGCCCGGTAGACGGGGGTAGGGCCGTGGAGTGTAGAGCCTTTGGTGTCTCGGTGGAGAATCGAAGACTCTTGGTCGAGTACCTGGGTGGAGGGGGAAGATATGGTTTGCACTTATTCTTGCTATTTAAGGAGGGACGCAGGTTTCTTGGCTACATGGCGAGTGAGAGGAGCCATGTGGGTGATGTAGTGAGATCCGGCTCTTGCGGCTCTCGCGACGGTAGGAAGTGGGCGGTGTGTATAATGTAGGTCTCTTGTTACGTTATTTTGATGTCAAATGCTTCTTGCGGCGAGGTGGACAGGTAGATAGAAGATTATCTGGGTACCACTACTACTTACTGAACCTGACGGGATTTTGAACATGGGCTTGAGCTCAACAGAGCTCCGACAAGCCAACACGTCGTGGTAACTTAAGAGGTGATGTAGCCACCTTATGGGGTTGAATTGGGTCATAGAAATGGAGTATATCTAACTGGAGAGGCGAATCAAGCTCATCTTGTCCTCTCAGGCTCTCTCAGGTTCTCTCTATCTATTGACTACCCCTAGTCTTCACCTCAGAAGGTTTGACGCCGGATCCACGGGGCCCATGGACCACCAGCACTTCGATATCTCCATCATCAACAAACACCACAGGCTGTGGGGGCCCTTCCAGGTATCCACAAATGGTTTAAGATACCTTCAACACGTTGGCTCGGTTGGCAGGCCCATGTTCCATGCGCGTCGCGTGGCCAGCCATTTATCGGCGAGTTATGCCAGAGATGCTTTATGTAGTTCCATGAAAGATTGAGGAGCGGGATCAAGCTCTGGTCGCCCGGTAACATGCCAGGCATGGCCTGGAGTAGATCCGCATCAAACAGGAGTATACCTGGTAACAGCAGAGTTTGAATTCTCCAACTCGGCGGAGTAGACGGTAGATGCCGTTTCGCAGTCCGTAGAAGATGCCGATCTCACTTGCCGATCCGGATATCTGTGTATGTTATGATAATGGCCCCTTCGTCTGGTTATCGCCCGTCATAGCTTGCACTCTCAGCCCAGCGATGTGGCCTCTGGGGCCTCCAGCATGAAACCCGGGCTCCAAAACTCCAATTCTTGGTTTTGCTTGTCGACCCACAACATGCCCTCGCCGACGAGATCCTCAACAGCTGTCTGGGCCCTCGCCCTGGCCCACCTGAGATTCACCATAAGCATGGACACGCTGACGTATCCAAGCACCTGGACCGCCTCGAGCACGGCACTCTGATCAATGTTGAGCTCCTTAGGAACCGAGCGTATATACGGCTTACTCCCGACTTTAATGACCGAGTACGACGACCCAAGAGGTTTGAGCGTCCCAACAGCGCGAAGGATATCGTCCCTACAGAGCGAAGAGCCCCGCCCCGGTCAGCCATGCTTGCAGTATTTCATGGGAGAATATCCCCCCTTCGGGACAACTCACTCCGTGATATCCGACGCACCCTCCATCCTCGCCCTGACAATCCTCTCCCTCACCTTTCGCACCTCGATCAGCCCCCCATTCTCCCCCCTTGTCTCCCCACACACCTCCACCACCCTGACCGCCAGCTCAAAGTAGAAGTCATTGACCGACCTCCCCAGCAGCTGCGCCCAGACTGACGAGCCCATACCACCACCGCCGCCTCCACCCGCGGAGCCGCCGCTGCTGCTCGCTAGCGGGTCGACGCCGATGGCGGCGCACATGCGGGCGAACTGGGCGCGGAAGGAGGGGTCGGAGCGGATGTCCTTGGCGTGCGTCTGGGCGAACTGCTGCACCAGCGACCGGAACACGGCCAGCTGCGTCTCCAGAGCCGCCGCGTCCGTCGTCCGCAGCGTCGAGCCGTGGCTGGCGTACTGCGCCGACGTCAGCCGGCTGCGGTCGAAGGCCGCCAGGCCGACGCCCTTGCGGGACATGGCGCCTGGCGAGGGGGTGGGGGTCGGTTAGGAAGAGCCGGGTTTGTGGAAGGATGGATGCTGGGTCGGTTTGTTACGAGTGAAGCAGCATCGCCGTTGGCAAATAGGCATTAGGAAGCTTGCTCGTTGCTACATCGCAAGTTCTAGTTCGCGGCAGGCCTATCCAGGTTACAAGTCAACCGGTGGGGCCAAAGATCCGGGCGATAAGATAAAAGACATGTCATGTCAGCAGTCACGTGCAACAACTCCACTTAGCGAGGTATCCATCCAATTAAAGCGCATCCGCGAAAGGAAAGGGCACAAACCCCAATTTGCCCTGGGTTGGAAAAATCGCAAAGCCGCAATAGCAAAACTTTGAGGGAAAGCTTGAACGGTCCACGAACGCCCCGGTCGCGACAAATATCTTCGAACCTCATCCGCACACCGCAAAACTCGCAACCATGTCGACCCCACAGAGCGTTGCTTGCTTCGGCAAGAAGCGGACAGCGACCGCCGTCGCAATTGCAAAGGTGCAGTGGGACTCCGCGGGGGGTGGAGGAGGAAGTTCTTGATGGGATAGAGGAACCGATGTGCTGACAGTCGTGTGTTTTTTCCCTGGATTCTAGGCCGGCAAGGGTCTCATCAAGGTCAACGGTCGCCCCCTCCAGCTCGTCGAGCCCGCCGTTCTCCGATTCAAGGTGCGTCATGAACAGGATGGAATGTGTCGAGGGATTGGGGGAGTGGCATATTTAGGCCCCCGCCAACCCTCGGCCGTCCAATTTGACCGGGAAAGCAAACAGCAGCTGACCATTACCTCTTGAAATCCAGGTTTACGAGCCGCTTCTCGTCGTCGGTCTTGACAAGTTCTCGGCGATTGGTACGCATTCCCATTCCATCTTTCATATCACAACGGGATCTCGAGGGGAATTACGAGGAACAGAGGAAAATGACGAAGACCCCGATGCTCCAGGGCCGGGGAAATTGCACAGGACAGCAGGACGCTTGGCTAACAACAGATTCTCACGACAAATAGACATCCGCGTCCGAGTCACCGGTGGTGGCCACACCTCCCAGGTCTACGCCGTTCGCCAGGCCATCTCCAAGGCCCTGATCGCCTACTACCAGAAGTACGTCGACGAGCACAGCAAGAACCTGCTCAAGCAGGCCCTGACCCAGTTCGACCGTACCCTCCTCGTCGCCGACAACCGTCGTTGCGAGCCCAAGAAGTTCGGTGGTAAGGGTGCCAGGTCCAGGTTCCAGAAGTCCTACCGTTAAAGGTCGTCTTGTCCGGGGAAGAGGGGTGGGCAGTTGGGCGGTTGGCCGGCCGGGTGGATGGCAGATGGACGGTCTACTGGTCCTGCCCGGATGGGCGGGGTTGCTGTTTGGCCTTTCGCAGACTCGACAGGAAGTTGCCAATCCGGGGCTCTTTTCGTTTCTGTGAAGCAGACGCTCCCCGGCCCGGAAACCACATTCCGAAGGGAGAGGAAGAGGGGATGCTTTCTTGCGTTGAGGGTCGGGAGTCACAAAGGAACCTAAACGACGGAAAGGAAAGGCTTTCTATTTATTTGCTGCATTTGCATGGCAAACCCCTTTTCTCCGGGGCTGGTTTGTAAAGGGAAATGGCAAACGAAACTTCCAAGACTTGGCCCAAAAACAAGATAGTGCGACTGCAGCGCCCTCTGTGAACCTAGCGATTGCCGATTGCTATAACTCCCCCAGTCGACCCTTCAAGCCCATGACGGGTAGGAGAGCTAGCTGCCCGGATCTCCCCTTATAGACTCACCTTCCTTCCATGCTACTTCATGCTCGGCAGGGTATCTGACCAACTTGGTGCACATTCAGCGAGCGGCCCGTAGGTAACTTGACCTACCTATGCCGGATACACCCAAGCAAATTCCTGTCCTACTCCTTGTCCGTAGAATCGAAGTATGATATTGGGGATTGCAACGTAGCTACTCCTCAATCAACACATATCAACCCATTAGACCGACACCAGGGATCCCCCATCTCCGCAGCACCTTCATACAGCGTACACTCATTATCGGATGCCCTGAAACGCCTGTCCAACTTCGGTCTCCTACACAGGCGCCAAATACCGGTTCCATATAAATACGAAGCAGGAGAAGCACAGTAACAACCTAGCTCCAACTAACAAGCCCGACCTCCCTCCCCTCCTCATCCAAATCAACGATCACCGGCAGGTATTCCTCGTCGTCGTCGTCGTCCTCACCACCACCATTATCATCTTCCCCTTCCTCCCCTCCGGCTCTCCCCTTCGTCCCCTCCCCCGCCTCCTCCCCGTCGCCGTCCCCGCCCCCGCCCCGTAGATCCCATCCACACCTCCAGAACCAAGCCTCGAGCTCGGCAAACGCGGCCCCGACGGCCGCCTGGTCGGGCGTGACCCTGGCCCCCAGGCCGAGCAGGAACACGTCGAGGCGGCGCTTGTAGAGGGCCAGCGCGGCGCGGAGGCGGGCGGCGTTGCGGGGGATGGTGTTGAGGATACTGTTGTTGTTGTTGCTGTTGTTGTTGCTGCTGTTGCCGTTGTTGTTCTTGTTGCTGCCAACAGTGTCTTCGTCACCGGCGGCGACGATGATGTACCGGTCATTGTAGATCATCTGGGCGTGCAGGGTCTCCAGCAGGGCGCGGGCGAGGACCGGGCGGTCGGCGGCGAGGCGGTGGGCGCGGAGGACGACCTTGAGCAGGACGTGCCACCACTGCTCGATGCACGAGTAGTTGCCGATGTGCATGCCCGTCAGGAAGGTGAACTGCAGCTCGCCGATGATGTCTGCCTCGGTGACACTGGGAGGAGCGTCGGAGCCGCCGTTGTTGTTGTGGTTGTTGTCGAGGAGGGCTAGGATGCGAGGCGTCACGTCGGGTGGGGAGTCGTCGCCCGGGGAGATGCGCAGGAGGTCCAGGTCGACGGCGTCTCGCTGCAGGAGGAAGTTCAGCTCGCTGCCCACCACGGTCTTGAGGAACCTGGCCGGCTCTTGAAAGTGCATCTCCCCCTTGGCACTGTCCGAGGTGTCGACGAGCCATTCGCGGACATTCCTCTTGCTCGTGATCCTGTCGAGGAAGGCGGGCGATATGCCCGACGTGACCTGCCGCCAGATCGACGCCCTGTCGTGCCCTGCTTCGGTTCCCGGGGCCGGAATGCCCGTCGGAAGGTCCTTGGGCGGCGGAGTGGGGGCGCCAGCCGTGTCGGACCCGCCCCCTACGTGGCTGTAGGGGATCAGCCGTGGGTATGTGTCGTCAATGTTCTCTTTCTGCTCGCGTGCCTCGAACTGGCTAGCTGCTTCGCCAATGACCTCGTTATACTTGTCCCATTGCTTCACCCTGACCTCGCCCAGCTCCCCAGTGACGAACCAGTACCCAGAGCGGAATATCGCGCCTGACGCCAACACCCAGAGGAAGTGGGGACCGGGCGGGATGTCGCGAAAGCCGGGGATCTGGGTACTCCTCGCCGACACCGTCTGGGTATCGATGCCCACGGTGAACCCCAGCGGCAAGTCCAGGATCAAGAATATGTCTCCCTTTTCGAGACATTTCGTCGGCGGGGGAGGGGGCTCCTCGAACTCCTCGGCCAGGGGGCCAGTGATGGCGAGATCTGCCGGCGTGGATTGCGGAGATTCGCTGGGCCGATGGACTCGAAGAGCCCCGAAGGGGATGGTGCCAATCGCGCCCACAGATATATGGGAGGCGATGGAGCGCCTCCCGGCGGAAGCCGTCGAGTTGGACTTGGCCAAGCTCGATGAGTTGTAGAAGCTGTGGCTGGTGCTCCGAGGGGCGGAGTCGCTTGAGACGGAAGACGAGCCCGCGTCGGCAATGTTAGATGAGGACTGCGCAATATCGCTTACACTGTCCTCGGCCATGGTTTCGGTGAAGGAAAAAAGTCCCTCTGTGGCACCATCCAGCGACGGCTCGTTTGGAAGGTTTTGACAACCGTCTCCACTCGAAGAGATGGCTTGGGCGCTCATAGCTTTTCCCGCAGAGCAATACTTCAGCTGAATACAGTTTTTTTTTCTTCACATGAAAAAATAGAGCTCTCTGGAAAGGGCGGTGTTTTGAAACCACAAGAGACTGCTCGGGAAGACACAAATGTAGCGGGGAAAGAGAGCGAGTGTATGCTTGTTGGACAAGTGCAAGTGCACCATCGGGTGGCGGCTCAAGGAACGGACTTGAAGACAGCAAACAAATGTAGGAGGTAGGATCAGTCCCCAATAAGGGAAAAGAGAGCGTATCAGGTCGGAGTAGAAAAGTTTAAAGTGGTTTAGAAGCAACGGTCCGTCAGAACTGGCTAGGCAGCATCACGGCGAACTATCACGGTGGCCGAGTCAAAAAGAGAACAAGGTGCTACGTCATGGTCAATATCAGCCTGAACAAGCCTCTATCTTAAGGATTGGGTTTGCCTTGCATGCAGTGTATAATTGTATGAATATGCTTTCTTGGTGGGAGAAGATGCATGAACAATTGATGCTTATCAGTCCCAGGCAATGGTATCTATCTAGTGATCCGAGATCTTGTAAATTAAACGAGGGCTTGGCACGATAGCTTGAAAACATCACGTCACTGAAGAAATTTGGCGGCAGCGTTCGTATGTTTACAACTATAGGGAGCAACGGGTCTGAAAATGAAAAGGTTAAAAAGGCGTATTAAATGACGAAAGTATATTAATAGAATATTAGTACCTAAATGATCAGCCGGACACCGAGGAAATACCTAAACCAGCAAGCGTGCATCGGCATCACAGATCAAGCATTATTTTGAGCCCTGCCCGAACTCACAGACCGTTGGCGCCAGCCGACACACACCGGGCGAACCAACCGTTTCATTCGGCTTGGGCCGGAGTGGGAGACCAGCTTGTGTCAAAAGGTTGTTAACAGCCAAGACAAGGGCCGCCGCCACATACGAACATGTCCAGAGATAGTGTAGCACGGTAATTAATAAGTAGACTCCCCCGCAACACATCTATGCACATGCCTACCCAACCTAATCTTCATCTCATATTTTTTGCCTTTATCACCTGCCTTAGTCCCACGCCGGCCCGACCTTACATACCTAGCAGGAATCCGGTGCGCCACTAGCATGTACTCCTTCCTTCCTTACATACCTAGTACATACATCGCTTTGGGACGGGCTCGTGGGGAGGGGAGCTGGCGCTGCGCGCTATGGCCCTAGGGGGAAAATACACCGATCCAAGACAAGCGGCTCAACCGCCTCCTCGGGCGCGTCGATCCCCACACCGGTTTCCGCGACGGGCGGCGCTTGCGTGCGGCGTCTCCAGTCAACACCCCTGGTCGGCACGGCTTTCCCTTGGGAGGGGTGGTTCGAGGTGGGGTAGTGGCTACCGCGATACAACGTACATTACATGGTGTGTTAGTGTGCATATACACCCTACACTAGAACCTACCACGCCCATTCCGAGCCGTTGGGATTAGGTCCCAGGCTGGCGGGATATGGGATGTATGCCGTGTGGTAGTATTTTTGTTGTTTATTAGGTTAGATAGTTTATGATATTTATTGCTTATTTCCCATCCCTCCCCTGCCACCTTAGTAGTCCTTCTCGCATTTGGCGCAAAGGTTATGGATCCAGCGCATCCATGCACCCTCCCCCAAAAAAATGGGGGAAAGGGGAAGGAAGACGGAGAGCCTCGGGTTCGCTGCGTTCGTAAAGTCGTGTAACTTCACCAACCACCCCAGGTTACCTGTAATGTAGATCGGAATGCAAGGTCTGATGCTGGCAGTGAACGGGCAATCTGTCTGATGGGACTTGGCAGCTTATCGAGAAACCCCCTCTCGCTGGCCGATCAATAGCTACCTATCCATGCGCAGGCCATTTCCTTGGAGTTCTACCTCCGTGAGTGGATTCCGACCCGTGCAACGCGATAGGCAGGTGGGACAGGGGACTTAACCCATGGAAGTTTTGCTTTTTCTTGTGTCATCGCCTCTGCCTCCGAAGCCATGTGCGAGGGCGAGTGTGAGTGCCAGTGCCAGTGCCCGTCCCCGGCTGTTATATGTGGTGACACAAGACTAGAGCATCAGTTGCAGGAGGTTGCAGACCGCCACATGTTCGCCTTAGTTCCCGCGTCTTTGTATCACATCCCAACGTCTCGCATGCCATGTTATGGCCACGCGGACCCGAGCCCGCTTGCCAGTCCTCCACCGCTGTGTTACTTGAGTTGGTTATAGGAATCCCGAATCTATGTACTATACAAGCACGCTGTCGTCTTGGGATATCCCAACATTTCTAACGCCAAGATGCCTGTCCCCTGGCCCTGAACCTCGTGGGAGCCAGCGCGGGTTTACGTTGACTAGTGAGGCCCCTCTTGTGCTCATTTCTACATCAACTACCCCATTATCGATTCCATCAAACGCTGCTTGTGCGTCGCTGTGTGGAGTGTACGATGAGCATTATTTTCTATAGCAGGACCTATCTATCAGCTGCCTGGCCGAGACCAACTCTTCGATCAACTCCATACCATGGGTTGGTGAAGAGCTTGCTCGGCCAATATTTCCCACCGCCAGTGGTCATTCCTAGCCCGCAGTCCGTCCTGGAACAGCCACCTCCTGAGATGGCATCTAGGGGTGACAGAAACTCGTTGGGCAGGACAAAGGAGGCAAGAGATAAAAACAATCGGAGAGAGAGAGAGCGCAGGGCAGGGCAGTGAGGCAGTGAGCCCATATGTGACCCTCAAATGCAAAAATAAAATAAAAATAAAAAATAAAAAATAAAAGAAAAAAGGAGAAAACCGACCGGTTTGCACCTTCCAAACCCAGCCCCCACTCATTCCATGGTGAATCGCAGAATGCAGACCTCCCCAATCCGAACCATGCAATATGCGCGCGTCAGTCAACCATGAAGCCATGAAGCCAGTCGTAATCAGAGAATACAAACGAAAAGGGGCGAACTCGCGCGAAAAGCTCGAGGACGAACGGCGCCAGTGCCTATGTAATGGCATCCCACCAACCAAGCCGAGCCGCACCAAGAGATAGAAACTCCACCTATAGTATGAGCATGGAAAACTGCGCATTACCATGTCGTGACTACCCAGTTCCTTTTCTGTGCTTTTATTTCCTTATTTCTTTTCGCACCCTTTTGGGTGGCCGCGGTCTTAGGAAGAGACGCGCGGAAGGCAGTATAAACAAGAGGCGGGCAATGAGTTGTGTGCAGGTCGAGGGAGATATTGTACAGGATTGGCGGGTCGTCCTCTCGCCAATCCCTCAGAGCCAAAGGTTCCTCACTTGTTCCATGCGGCCTGAAACCAACGGCAATGATGCCGGTCAGTGATTTGGCGGGCCACCATTATCTGTTCAAAACAACGTCAGTATATATGCACGCATCGACGCAACAAGGTGGAAACATGGCTGAGGTACCTACGTTGGCTATACATCTGCGGGCCAGGCTGGCCATAGGGTGACGGAGGTTGGTAGTTGGGGTAGATCTGACTCCCACCGTATTCTGGGATGGGCTGCTGAACACCGGCGGACGGAGGAGGTGGGTATTGTGTTGGCTGGTAACCAATCGGGGGCAACTGGACCGGACGCGCAGAGGCATAGGTCGTGGGAGGCTGACCACCGTCGGGCGCATGGGGATCTTGACCACCATTCTGCGCGGCAGCAGCAGCGGCGACATTGGCCTGTCTTTGCCGGTCGTCCTCCGCCTTACGTTGAGCCTCTTCCTCCTTCTTGCGCGCTTTCCACTCTTTGCGGATTTCCTTGAATTCTATGCACGAGATCGGGTTAGTTCGTTTCTTATTTGTTGGTTGGACCCGACGGTTCGGTTCACCCATGCCCACTAAGGCGTTGGCGCCGACCACCAACCCAGCACACCGGATTGAACGGGCGTAACCAGGCTAGTGAGCCGGATTCCCTCACCAGTTTAACCGGACTTCAATAGCTATGCGCTACGCATTGAGCCCAGCTAGACTGAACGTGGAAGGATCGCTCCATCGCCCTTAACCTGCACGCCAGGCAGGGGGTGGGCGCCAATTCAAAATAAAATAAAAACCACTGCGTACCATCAGGAGTCCGTTTCTGCCCATGGGACTGCATTGTGACATGGGCGTTCAGGTGGTTAAGCGTCCCATACGCCTTCTCACACCCATTCCATCCGCACTTGTACATGCGTTCAATTTCCTCGTATCGTCGCCGAGGCCTCTTGTGTTGCTGAGCTCCGGGGATTGGGACGAAGGAGTAGACCTGCAAGAGGAAACCATGTATTAGTCAAAATGTTTCCAAACGAGAGACTAAAACGGCCACAGGGGGTTTCAAAACTCTGGAGAAGGTGTTGTGGTCAATGCCGCCGCTTTTCCTATCTCGCAACGAAGGCGCGACAAGGCAACCGAGACAGAGGATCAGGGGATACTATGGCGCACGAGGCTCAACCTACCTGGCTTGGTCGGTTCTGGCCAGGGCCGGAAGTCGGGGTGTGAGGGAAGACCGGATGTCCAGGCGTGATGGGAGGATGTTGGGAATATCCACTCCAGTCCGGACGAGGCTGGGCATACAGTGATGCGCTGCCCGGATGCGCATAGCTGTGCGACATATCCTGCTGGTGGCCAGGATAGGGAGGATACTGGCCGTGTGGATAGGTCGGGCTTGGGGCAGCGATTGATGGATCTATAGGTACTTCGCTGTCAGACTTGACCTGCTGGGAATTTTGATGGTTGCGTCCATCTTGCAGAGGCATGGACGGACTTGTTGGTGTTTGCGCCATACCTCCAGTGCCGCCGTTGGGGTTGCTCGCTGGGTGGTATGGACGCTGGATATGCTCTGGGAAGGAGGCTGACCGCGCCGAGTGAGGATACACAGCGTATTCAGACGTGGGCGTGCCTGCCGCGGAATAGTTGCTGGACCGCACCTCCTGCTGTGGGGTCGGGGTCGCGTATGGCGCAGCAGATGCGTTATCTACAGACGACGCCTCAGACTTGGTGTCGCCGAAGTTGCTTGGATAGGGCGAAGGCAAACCTGACTGCGAGTACTCGGGCGCAGAGCGATCCATGGAGCTTCGAGGAGAGGATAAGAAGCGCGCGGATGGTCGCTTCTGAGCCTTGGTTTCAAAGATGGCGAGGGCTTTGATGCGTGGTTGTCAACGAACGCGTGGTGGTGCAGTTACGTTTGGAACCAAAATCATACTACGGCCCAGCGACGCGTCTAAGAAATGATAGCCGGAGAATTGGTATATTCGGCTAGCTTCGAGTCCAGTGGGCAGATCGGTTTGTTGGAGGTGGGCCTTTGGTCTTTGTCTTTCTTTTGGGGGAAGGGGGGGGGAGGTAAGGCGGCGGTGGTCTAGTGAGCAAGTCCGTGTCCGTGGGTGCTCTTTATCCCGAGGTCAAGTCGAGGTCAATGGCAGGTATGTGGGAAGTAGTAGTCGGTGGACCAAACTGGGTAAGAAATAGAAGCAGCGACGGCGGCGGCGGCGGCGGCTGGTTGGTGCTTTTGTTTGGCGCGAACGGCTTCCTTGCCCGGTCTTGGATCGAGTTAAATGGAGACTCGTGTGCCAAGCGCACAAGCCAAGCTTAGGGGAATCGATGAGAGGTGGCAAGGATCAGGCGTCCTTGGGGTTGGTGAGATCGCGGAAAGCAAGCGTCCCAGACAGGCGCGAACTCTAAGCGTTGGTTCGAAAAAGGCTGGCGGGGATGGCGAAGAAGAATTTGCACTAAAGTAGCTCGAGTCCAAGATTTAGTGCTGTCGTAGTGCGAGTCGTAAAGGAGAGACCGTGTACACCATGTAATAGGCGTAGGTAGCGTAGAGATGGGCGGATAGGTGGATGGGTGGATGGATAGGTGGTGGGCGGTTCTTTGGTGCCGTCGGCGCGAGGAAGGTATCTGCACGCCTCTTGGTTTACTGCGTAGGTCGATTTCCTAGCGCCGAGGTTCCAGGATGCCAGATTACCAAGGATATACCGGGGTTCCCTCAATGGCGGAACTTGTAGGGATGCAAGCGGCAAGCCTAGTCTCCTTGGGACCTAAACTGACTCTTGCCCTGCGCCCTGCTTTTCCCTAGACGGGGTCCTAAGATGTGACGCGCAGTGGGGTCTATCTTGGCCGAAGGTTTGGATGAGGAAAAATTAAGCCTAGCGCGGGAGGGCCGTGACTTTATAGTGTGTACTGAGGCACTGATGATCCCGACAATGATGGGGTAATTTTCTGATGTGTACCAGTACCAAGGGCACCTTGAGATTGCCTCTCCGAGTGGAGGGGCTGATGTGGTGCTGCTGAAAGTGGAGAAATCAGAGGGTGAGGGCTGAGCAGATCCTGGACGAGGAAAGTACGCATGTACAACGTACGCCCTGCACCTCGGTATGCCAGGCAAGTACCATTCACTGCGCAGAAGAGGGCAAGTACTGCCGAGTAATCGCTCTTCGTGGTGAATCAGACGTGTCAGAGTTGCAAATGACGAAGCTGTGGACAGGTACCAAACTAAGGCAGGTACTTCTCCTGCTCAAGCGTGGTCCGAAAGAGCACCACTCTGCCGGATCGGAGTTACTGGCAGGGTTTGGACTTATCCCCAAGGTCCTCGGCGATCTTCAAGTGATTGATATTCAACCTAAATAGCAATTAAAAAATGATACACCCTACGCCGGTGCCGGATCAGTGTTGCTATGCAGTATATGACTCGTGCTCAAAAAGGTCGAGAGGGGTGTTTATGTTCTGCGCGGATTAGTGCCGCGTAGTGAATCTATGATCCGGGTTTGAGAATGATGCGCCTGTATCTTAGTGGGTACGAAAAACGTGGGTGGGTGGATGGATGCACATCGCAAAATTGGTTAAGATGAAGAGGGGTGGAGGGGGGAGGGGGAAAATGGGGGGCGGGCAAGAAAGTCCTGGATCCTTGACTTTTTAGTAGCGCTCGAAATTGGGGATCCCTGTCCTCTTTTTTTTTTTTTTTTTTTGGCCATATTTTGTATTTTTCACTTTTGGACTGGAAAGGATCTATGCACTGTACAGGGGATAGCGAGGGTGGGACTGCAAAAATGATATTTATGATTGGCTGGCCTATCCTGCTAAACCCACCCACAAGTGGCGCATGAGAGTTTTTTTTCGACTTTGTCTTTCTGCAATGTGGCGGAGTGGGTTCGGCAAAACATGTGGCGTCAAATGAGAAGGGCTCAGGTATTTGAATGATACATCATACTCGTAACCTTAATGGGGCAGCGCGGATAAAGGGAGGGAATGCTGTGATTGTCTCGACTCCTGCCTAGTAAATACGGCGAGGCAACTTGGAAAGCTCGCTTGACCCATGTGTGTAAAAAGGACAGCCATGCCGTAGATGCTTGCGGAGAGCGATGAGGGAAACTAATACTGTGTGGGCCATAATGAGGTGTGCTGGAAGAGGTGACGATCTGTGCGCTTATGTAACGCTAGCCCGATCGAGGAGGAATCATGCCTGGGGTGGCTTGCTTGTTAGGCCCGCCTTCGCGACCCAGATGCATCTCCATGACATCCATACATTCGCGCCCAGGCGAGGTGTTGGGGTGGCCTCCCTTTGCTTTTTTCTCTCGTGGCTTGCAGGACGCAAGGTGTTGTACCAAGGAGGTTGCCGGGCATTCATAATAACAGGCGCAACTGCGGTGCCAAAATGTACCTATACTTTAGATGTCAGGCCCACCTCAGGCTTGCGGCAACTTAATCGCAAATGCTGATCTCCACACGTGGAGGTTAGGTACTCTCCTGCCATCCATGGATCCAATAGGTATCTTCTCTGGCCTAATCAGGTACCCACCACGCCTCTACCAGAACTATCGCTACTGGCCGCAGGTGTAATTAGCGCGATATCCGTACCATGGAAATTGACTCCCGGCTCTCGTCATCTTCGTGGTTAAACCGGCATGGGGTAGTTCCTCCTATGAGATAGGAGACCTTGTCCGGTTCCCTGTCATCCCGCTTTGGCTGTGTGCTGCTTGTGGCAGTTGAAATCTGCGAGTGTACGTTGGAGTCGCGGCTCGGACGGGGATCATCTAGTGATTCTTTGAACTAACCCACAGATACTCTCGATCCAACGCCGTCGTCAAGTTTAAAATGGCCCCGACCAGCTAATTGGGATCAAGCCGGTGGTCTAACTAAACAACACGCGGCCTACCAAAGCGGCCAGCTGGCGTAGCGCCCTACCTAGGTTCGCTGCAAGGAGCCAACAAGCTTTTGGTCCCTGGCAGTAGCCAAACGATGACGGATGCGATGCTAGGTAGTTTACTATTCTTGCACACATTCCATCAATCAGCGCCATTCGACGACAAGGAGAGTCGGCAACTGATGATACTTGCACGAACGAGAGAGGCGCTTCTTCCGACGGATGGATGACTGCTTGCCGAGTCGGCACACACGAGTCACAGCTGTCGCTCAATTGAGCAGCAGCCCAGGCGGGACAAGTAGAAACCAAGATGTTTGATTGATTGCTGCTGCATGGAACCCTTTTGGATGGGCGGAAGTGGAACAATTGAACGGATATGCGACGCTGGCATGGCCTTGGGTCCTCCCATTTGCCCATGTGCCCATCTTCAACTTATGCAAGCGCCCCCTTTCTTCCAGTCAGCCGCTGTTGTAAAAATAAGGTAGGCTCCTCCCTCGGTGCTGCCTAAGACGCTTGCATCTGAGCCGTGTGCAACCACGACACGGGTTGAAAGTGCGATGTCGCTAGACTACCTATTTTAGATGATCCGTCAGGAAGTTTAGAATTTAGGGCGTCGACAGATCTCTGGCGACCCGGATCCTCGGGATACACTAAAATCGCGTTTAATGGTCTGCAGGGGCGTAGTGTTAGTTCTGTTAGCTGCGGCTCCCAGTCCGTGGGAATCTTTTTCCATCGTCATGGTTCGTCGAGCCGCAGCAGCGGCAACCCCGACGGCAATCGGTCCCCGTTCGTTCGTTCGTTCGTCCGTCCGTCCGTTCACAAGGCCATTGGCATTGCCAGCGTCGGGTCATTGCCAAACGGGATGACCTGCCGCCCCATCTTACGAGGACTCTGCCGGTCATGCGATCAGAGAATGCTGCTCGCACAATTTCGCGAGCAAGGCACGACCCACCGCATTTCAATAAATTACGCGAGAAGACGAGAGGGGATGACCAATGTGAGCGTCGAAGGCAACCACAATGTGGGAGGCAAGGTAGGCGGGTACACTACTGTGCAGTGGGGACTGCTAATTGCGGGGCGTCATTGGCCGCATCCTTGCCTGGGCGGATCATCCCTGGATACCCTCACTCTCATCCCCTCACCGTTACTTCTGCTTCCGGAATTGCTTCATCGCTTGTCAGAATGTCTAGCAAGACTTTGCTTCCTTTTGCGACAAACTTCGTTATTAAAACAGGATATAAAGCTCAGCGTGCTTGAAACCGCTGTGCCAGCTGCCAAGAGGGCGGTAAGACCGGCAATTCGGTGTTCGGTGATTACCGACTGACAAACACACCGCACAGTGTCTTCTAAACCGAGGGCAAGGGAAGAATGCCCTCCTGCAATGTAATTCGTCACGTCGTTGCCAAGACTTTCGTCGCATGCTTTCATGCATTTGAAATGCAAAAGATTAGCAGGGTACCGTGATGATGGGTTAGCACCGTACGCTAATTGATAAATCCCAGAGAATTAAAATACTGTGGTTGAGTGCAAAAGTTTTACCCCCCATGTCAGGTATCGAAAAGCGCACTAAATCGACCAGGGATACCTGACCCACTGGGCAAACTTACCCATTATACCGTAGTAGCTACCTAGGTATCTGACCCAGGAAAAGCGAGGCCATCTGTGCGTGCCCTGGCTCTTGGGATCCAAAATCATATCTCGAATCCCTCTCGGCCAACCAAACCAACCTTTCCTACCTTGTCAAGGCCATCACAATGTCAGTGCCGATCGTTTTGAGCGCCTGGCATCAGCACCCCTACTTCGTATCCAGCGCAAGAGAGCTCAACGATGCGATTCGCACTCAATTCCCACTGTGCGCTCGGAGGAGCTCCGAGCTGTGTTATGGGCGGTGAAGGGCGGTGTCATCCGATCCTTGGATGCCATTTCCCTGGTCTGCGAAGTGACAGACAGCCTAGAAGCGCAATGCAAACGCATTCCCGTTGGAGAAATTCCAAGCGGGATTTCGAGGCCGTCAGTATACCCTAGCCAGATTGATGCCTCCAGAACCTCCTCCTGCATAAACTGCAAGTTTGCTTGTCTGGAGACTTGAGACAATGGCAATGTTAATATTGTTCCTGACTACTGCATCGACCTTGCTGGCGTTCTCGCTTATCACCAACCTTCAGACACATCC